CCAATGTTCACAGCAGCACTATTTATAATAGCCAAGACATGAAAGCAGCCTAAGTGTCCATCACCAGAGAATGGATAATGAAGATGTGGTATATATACACAATGCAATATTACTCAGCCATAAAGAAGAATGACATAATGCCATTTGCAGCAACATGGATAGACCTGGAGATTGTCATACTAAGTGAAGTAAGTTAAACAGAGAAGGATGAAAATGAGATACCAGAGAACTGAAGAAATTGTTAGAATTCATAACTTAGTAAAAGAATACTTATTTAGTGCACATGATTTAGGTAATATGATCTACAGCATAATATATTTATTAAGAGTTATACGGAAAGAGGGGACAGCCTGGTTGCATATTCCAAATGTAGTTTTAGGATTTTCAATTACAGGGGTAGTTGCCTATATTTCCTTTGGTGAATTCTGTTTTTGTTTTTTTGGGGGGGCAGAGGGTTACAGGGAAGGGAGGCTACATGGGATTCCTGTTGCATGTCAAGGAAATGATAAAGATGAAATTGGAATAAGAATTTAATCCAGAAGTCTTCATATCTCCCTGACACTGGGCAAGTCCTTCACCATCTTCCTTTTCTACTTCTTTCTTCTCCTCTTCCCTTCCTATAGTTGTCACATCCTCTTAGTCTTTTCCAATCTGGGACAATTTCTCCATCTTTAATGGTCTTTCATGATCTTGACATTTTTGAAGAGTAATTTTTCAGATATTTTGTGGAAGGTCTCTCATTTTGGGTTTGTCTGATGAACTCTCATCAAAAGATTGAATTTTGGGGAAGAACACCACAGAGGCGATGTACACCTCTTGTCATATCATATTGGGGCACATGATGTCAACAGGACTTATTTCTTTTTTTTAAATTGAAGTATAGTTGATTTACAATATTGTGTTAATTTCAGGTGTATGGCACAGTCATTCAGATATACATCTATATATATGTATATTTATATCTAATATATCTATATCTATCTATATCTATCTATCTATCTATATACATCTCCTTACCCTTTGGTAACCATCGGTGTGTTTTCTATCTCTGTGAGTATGTTTCTGTTTTGTAAACAAGTTCATTTGTATTATTTTTTAGACTCCATATGTAAGTGATATCATATAATATTTGTCTTTCTCTGTCTGGCTTACTTCACTTAGTATGACAATCTCTAGGTCCATTTGTGTTGGTACAAATGGCATTATTTCATTCCTTTTTATGGCTAAGTAATATTCCATTGTGTATATATACCACATCTTCTTTATCCATTTATCTGGTAGTGGACACTTAAGTTGCTTCCACGTCGTGGCTATTGTAAATAGTGCTGCTGTGAACATTGGGGTGCATGTGTCTTTTTGAATTAGAGTCCTTGTCTTTTCAACAGGACTTATTTTGGATGTTAACCTTCACTTGGTTCAGGGGATGTCTGCCAGGTTTTTCTGCTATAATTTTTTTTTCTTTTTTTCTACACTCTATTGGTTAGAAGTATGTGACTTTTTGTCCCCAGCTTGAGGTATAATTGACAAATAAAAACTGTATATGTTTACAATGTGATGTTTTGATATGCATACATTGTGAAATGATTACCACAATGAATCTTATCAACACACCCATCACCTCACAGAGTTGTCTTAGTTATCTTTTTGTATATATGTGAGAACATTTAAGATCTACTGTCTTAGGAAATTTCTAATTTACAATATGGTATTATTAACACTAGTCACCATGTTGTACATTAGATTTCCAGAATTTATTCATCCTGCATAGTTCAAACTTCACACCCTTTCACGAACAATTTTAGATTTCACTTGTAAGTGAGATTGTGTGGTATTTGTCTTTCTGTGTCTGGCTTATTTTACTTAGCATAATGTCCTTCATTTTCATCCATGTTGTAGTATTTGATAGGCTTTCCTTTTTTTTCCCACACTGTTTTCTATATGGCTATACCAATAGAAATAGGTGACCTTTTCTTAAGTCAGGAGTTTAGGGTGTTTTATTTGGTTTCCAAACTTTTGGGATTTATGGAAGCTATTCTTTGGATAAAATTTCCAACTTTATTGTAAAATGGTTGAGTGCATAGTTTGTAGGCTATTGATTATTGATTTTTTGAATTTATTGAGGTTTCTTTGTGATTTAATTCATAAACTATTTCTGAAACTGTTCTAAATTTCTAAGTTCTAAGTTCTAAAATAATCTTTCTCCATAGCTTAATTTCCACACCTATGAAGCAGGAAGAACCAAAAATATCCAAATCCTTTGATTTTTGTTTTGAAGGTTGCAAAACCAAAGACCAGACTGAAAGAGAGAAAAATACTACACTTATTCTTTTTGACTCTTTCTTCTGCAAACTCACAATGGGTATATCTTAACACAAGTAAACATGTAGGGGACAGAGAAAAAGGAAAATATCTGTCCTTCCTGAAAATAGATTTGTAACCACTGAGTAACAGGTGCTTAATCCTCTGTGGGGGCACAATTCCAGCCTACAGAGAGGACTAAATGAAGTGGAGGAGTAACCACCTGTGATAGTGATTCTGATCTGTGTTTGATTCCTTCATGACCCACTGGTCTTGGATATTAATATAAGTAAAGTTGAATCTTTGGTGTGTTGCTCAGATATCACTCTATGCTAGTGTGGTGGTGGTCCTCCAACAGGCTGATTGATAGCAGTTGGCTAGTCAATGAGAGAGCTAGCCTAGTGGCTTAGGAGGCAGCATGGATGCTTTCCTAAATTTTCCATAGGAAGGGGTATTTGATGGACAAGGGCTTCACCTTATGAATTTAAGTGAGATCCTTAATAGCCAACCTTTAATGTTGTTCACCATAAGTCTCCATGTGCCCCAGCTCCTGCACTAACTCTTCTTTCTCATGCCATCTCTCACTCTCTTCTCTTCTGTGAACTCTCATGGAGCCCACCTGCCTCTGGACATCATCATCAATGTATCCTTCTTGTTCCTAGGAGACCTCAAGCCTTTTCAAATACAACGAATCATCAAGAAGTGTTTTTAAAATAGGTAGTTTTATATGGGTGTTTTTTGGTGTTATTTGTTTCAACTTTACTATGTTTGAACATTATCCAAGTTTATAGTTGGAAAAAGTACATTTTGTCTCTCCCCCCAAAGTCAGTAACCTCAGCTATTGGCAGTATCACAAGAGGCCTGCACTTTATCTGGAAGAGGACAGAAAATGTTGTTAACACCTGTCCACACACAGAAGGAAAATCCTGCCCAGGAAAGGACAGCAATTCCAGAACAAAAGAGGAGGGGGATAGTGAAGAGTGTAACTGGAACTCAAGAGTATCAAGAGTAGAAGGTGGCACCAGAATGATTTACCAATATTTTAGCTGTCACTAGAAGAGTTGACTCTTCGCCATACAGGGGTGTGTGGTGTACTGTGTACTGGAAAGAGCATGAAATCAGAGAGACCTGGTCAGAATTCAGGTTTTGCTTTATATTAGCTGTGGAGATTTTGGCTAAGACACTTGATCACTTTGATGCCACAGTTCTCACATATGTAAAATTCTAATTATAATAATACTTGCCACTCAATGTAAAAATATTGTCACTGGCCCAATAAAATGGCATATTGGTATAGTAACACTTTAAATTGGTTACAAAAATTAGAATATTTTGAGGAGGGAAGTTTACAATTGCTTTCTATTGATTTGCTTACAAAGATATTTCCATCTTTCATTAGAAATGTTGGTTGTAAAAACCTCTATAGAAGTAACATTTTTAGGTTTTCTTCTGTTACTGTCAATCGATTTTTAGCAGGTTCCTGTATATATCTCCAAATTGACTTAAAAGTGAATCAGTGAATGTCTTTATTGATTGCCTCATTTCATAAAGGAATTTGAGGAAGGACCCACAATATGACATTCTTTTCTCTTTGGAGCATGCATTTGTCTTGCCTTCCGACTACAAACTACATGCCCCAGACACCCTTGCTACTAATGTTCTGCATGCAAATTAGGTTTCATTAAATGCATTAGAGTGAGATTTGCAGGTGCTGCTGTTCTGATGCTGCTGGCAAATACAGCTGTGGATACCTTGGATTTTCTGCGGCAGTGTTTCAATGTGCAGTCATTGCTCTATCAGTGTTGAGAAGAGGTTGGGACTGTGGAATGGTGGCTCCTGACTCCCTTTTCCTGGTTGTGGCCATGAGCCAGTTTGGCAGTGTTGTTTAGGGGGTCATCCTTAGATGTCCAGACTTTCTCAAGCCTTTCTAGTGATTGTGAATGACCCCAATTCCTCATGACAAACTCCTGCCTGCCCAAAATAGCTAGTTAATTGCTAATAACTGAATCCCGACTGGTTGACTTATAAACTCTTTGTGGACAGGACCTTTGTGATACAAAGGAAGGACCTTGCATTTCAGTGGAGGGAAACAGGTGATAAACAAGTGATTAAGTAAAAGTTTTAATAAGATAGTGATACGTGCTTATGATGAAAATAAAGCTGGAAAAGGGGATGAGGCGTGCAGGAGATGAATGCTGTGATTTTAAATAAAAGTGGTCACGGAAGGTCTTCCTGAGAAAGGTGACTTTTGAGACCTGACTATATTTTGTCAACTGTGTGCAAGGTCCTGGTGTAGTTAATGTGTTAAAATGAAACTATCAAATAAAAAAATGCAATTATCCAATTACTCCTTTCCTTCAATAACTCCCTGAATGATATCATTACTTTCCAACTCCAGGTGATATTATTTACCCACAGCAAACATGGCGGAAAAGGCTTCATCCCAACACTAGGGCCAACAATAAAGATGGCCACAGCACTTCCTGTGTTTGCCCTTAATAAAGATGGCGACAACACTTCCTGTTCAGGGCTTTCGCCTTCAACAAAGATGGTGCTTGTGGTACAGGTTCCCTGACTGTCTGGATTCCGGTTGCAGGTTTTTTTTTTTTTTTTTTTTTTTTTTAAGATACGTGTTTGCGGACGTAAGTAATAGGAAACCAGAACCCCCCCGTATCCACCTTTTCTCGAAGGCTCCGCGCCGCGGCGTCTGCGGCCTGGGCCCTGCGTGGCTCCCTCGTCCCTACCTTGCTAGCGGCGTTCACGAGCCCGGACGGGTTAGGGTGACAGTGAGGTGCTGGGGCCCGCTCTCCCCTCGGTCTGCTCTGAAGATTATTCCCAGCACCCCGTTTTTAACGGGTCAGGTTGCTCTGAAAATCTCTGGTAGTTCTTCCTGTTCCTAACGCCGCCAGGCTTCAGCTGGCAAAGTAGGGAATAAACAGTTCCAAATGGGCGGGGGCAGCTTAAAGTGCACCCCCACCCCCTTGCTCACCTGCCGCCTCTCGGACTTCACAGAGGCCTGCGAGGAGGGCCGGGGGTCCGGGTCGCCGGCCCGGGTTGTTTCTGTGGGTGTCATGAAGCCTCATCTGCCGCCCCTGCCCCCACCCCACCCCCACTCCTCGCCACCTAGTTACTCTCGTGGCGGCCCCTCTGCTCACTGGTGGACTCGTCTTGGAAACATGCCTTCCACTCTTGCGTGACTTCTGACCAGGGACTAGCATGTGGACATTTTTCCTTTCAAACAAAATGAAGAAAACCCCAAACCATTAAATGTCCTATGCATGTGTGGCCATGGTAGTGTTGTGATAGAGACTGGGAATTCTCCCAGGGAAGGGCTGGAGTCTGTGACTACATGTAGGATTCACCGTAGACTGGGCATGAACTCTTCATATTTTTCTTGAAGGCAGTGGTGCATATATAGGCCTTTTTCCTTAGGGTAAAGATCTTTAAACTTATCAGTACCTGCTGTTTTCGGGCCCTACTCCCATTGCTGATCAGGTTCTGAAAATGCCCACCATCTAAAGGGCACTTGCTTAATTGAATATTCGCAGTTTCTGCGGTGGAGGGGTATCTGATGAAGGAAATGTTAAAATAAAAGCACTAGTTCTTTTCAAGCATGTTAAACTGGAATACTCCTGTGTAATCCTCAGATAAAAGTTGCTTTTAAAGAAGGGTCTCCGTTCAGCTTTTTCCCAAATCCCTTTATGGCACAAGGAATCGAGCTAGGACCCCACTGTGTGGAAAGCAAAAACAGAGAATGATTCATGTTCGGTGCTGTTCATCATGTTTAGAAACATTTGAAATTAATTCAGCTTGGCTCAGCCAGTGTATTAAACACCATGGCCTGGAGCTCTGCTGAGGTTCACAAAGATGTCCATGACCTTGAGGAACTTGCATTGTAAGACACTGTCTTTCAGGGCTCATCATCATCCCTGTGATCTGAGATACCGTTTTGTTTTTTCCCAGGGGGAAATGGAGGCTAGAGACAAGCAAGTTCTTCGCTCCCTTCGCCTGGAGCTGGGTGCAGAGGTACTGGTGGAGGGACTGGTTCTCCAGTATCTTTACCAGGAAGGGGTCTTGACGGAAAACCATGTTCAAGAAATTAAAGCTCAAGCTACAGGCCTCCGGAAAACAATGCTGCTGCTGGATATTCTACCTTCCAGGGGTCCTAAAGCGTTCGATGCATTCCTAGATTCCCTTCAGGAATTTCCCTGGGTAAGGGAGAAACTGGAGAAGGCAAGAGAAGAAACCATAGTTGAGCTGCCTGCAGGTAGGCCTCAAAAAGATCTCTTCAAACCAGCTCCAAAATTGTTGTAACTATGCCCTTTGGACTTGAAGTTGGATTTTTAGGCTGGGAGGGATCAGCAGTTTCTGAAAATGGGTAAGGAGTTTGAATTGAAGGCACATGGCATTGAAGGGACCGGATGAGGAGGTGGAATTAGGCAGTTCAGGGAAGGAAGGAAGGAAGGATGAACCATGATTGAGAAGGTGAGGAGGGAGGTCAGAGAATACATTTAGAAATGCTTCCAGGGAAAGTTGGCAGGTCACTTGGGAGGCATGTTCTCAGATGAGAGCCAGGTCATATCTCAGCCCTTGGCATCAGCAGCCATTTGGAAAGTGCAGATGGGAAAGCAGGCTTTAGGCTTCCTGATAACTGATTCGTGGGGTGCCAGAGCGGCCGGCTGGAAAAGGTCAGATTCATGAAGGAGGAGACAGTCTCTAGGAAGGCACGCCTTGCACCTGTTCCCTGGGCTCTTCTGCAGGGCCAAAGGGGATTATTTGGAAGGCTGACTTAGTTTGTTTTTAAAGGCCATTGATTTAAAGTTGTCCTTTTTAGTTTGGCTTTGTTCAGATACCCAGAGTATTTAATTTTGTAAGGACAATAATTTTACGGGGGGCAGGGGACTGGGGTCTCATTTTGATTTTAAGGAAAGTTGGAACCTGAGGAAAAGAGAAGCAGTCCTAGTGCTATCAGCCTGGCCTGCAGCAGAAAGAGGATGTGATATGAAACACTTGTTTCCTGTTAACACCTCCTGTGACTTCTACTTTTTACACAGATTGAGGAGCAGAGAACTGAACTGGCAAAAGGAAAAAGAGTTGACTTGCAGATTTTTAGCAGAGTTAGGAAATCAACATTTTCAGGAGTTTTTGATAGCAATGATAGAACTACCCCAACTTAGAGGTCCCCAGACTTCTTTGTTGTTGTTTTTAAAATACCAATATAACTGATTATTTAAAAAAAAAAGACCACTTTGATTATTTTTGCCCCACGGACCTCATATTTTAAATGATTTTCCAGACCACGTGCATTAAGTATCATGATTAATTCTTCTGTTTTTATTAATGCCATCTGTCAGAATATTTGATCAGCCTGAGATAATTGGTTAACTTAGGAAGGCCTGGTAAAATCCCAGTGGAAGAAGCAAAAATATTTTAATTTCCTAGCATGGCCAAATTACAGATAAATATATGTCTTTAGGCTTTTAAATACTGAAAAAAACTGGCCTTTGAGGACTACAGATATTCTCAGATTGGATTGTCCTTACAAAATTAAATACTCCAGGTATGTGAACAAAGCCAAACTGATGTAGTTAAGACATTTCTACCACTTGATAGAAAACAGAATAAATAACAGAATTGGGGAGATGTTAAAAGTAATGTTATGGTGTCTAATGTCTTCCTGGTATTTGACTTGGAGGTTCCTCTTGTTAACACATAGTTGGAAACAACAAAACAGGGAAACTGAAAGCCTGTTACTTCCAAAATATTTAATTTAATTTTCACAATCACTGTGATGTTGTCAATAATACTGTTGTATGTTGTTCAAAGAAGTGTCACCCCATTAATTTCTTCCAATTCATTCAAAGAAAAAGAAAAATTTACGTTTTTTTTTAACCAAATGGTGAAAGTTACAGTGAAGTTGAGGGAAAAATAGTTTTTTAAAAAGTAAGCAGTATGGAACAGTTGGAATGGGAAAAAATTGAGTGTATCTGTGTTGTGTTTGGAAAAATGTTAATTTGATTATGTGGAAGTGGTCAAATGGCACGATAAATTGGCTACTAATCTATCTGTACTAAGAGTACAAATTAAGTACTTTTTATTGTTTGTCTTGTTGAGTAACACTGCTACTGAAAAAAATATTCTGAAAAAAGGATTTGATTTACATAATGTTCTCTTTACTTTCCATGATGACAATTACATAAACTCACTTTTAAAGTAGTTTTTGTTAGTTGTTGAATATTTTAAGTAAGATTACAAAATATAACTAAGATGTGAAGAGTAACAGCACAGTGAACACTTGTCTTCCCATCATTCAGTTAAAAAATATTACCATGGCCTTTGAGGACTCCTTGGTGCACCTCCCCAATCCTAGCTTTCCCCCAACTCCACTCACTGATAAAGTCAGAATTTGGAGTTTATCATTTCCTTCCTCACTTGGTAGTTTTCCATCTCATAAAAATCACTTTTAAAATCCACACGTTACGGAAAATTCATTACACCGTAAATTTTAGCGATGTCTATATATATAAGGTGTGGAGGAAATGATGTGTTAGGTAACAGCCTTTTTTTATTTGGGACCTTAAACTTTCAGTGTTTAAATTAGTTAATTTGATGGCAGTATTTTAATTTTAATTATAATTGGAAATCTGTTTTTTAAAAAATCCTGGAGAGAATATCAGAGTTGAAATGCCTTCAATTTAATGTCCCTGTAAAAAATACGAATGGACCCAGAGGCCTTTTTCCCAGGACCCCAGTGCTTCCTAGTGTTGTAATTGAGTAGTTTTAATAAGCTTTTAAATAGTCCATTTAAATTTTTGTAAAGGCATGTTTGAACTTTGAGGAATTAGAATGTAGGAAAGTGTGGTACTTGTCTATGTGTGTGTATATATTAACCTCTTCCGACGGTTTACTCATTTTGGTTGCAGTTATTAATCGGTTTGTATAGGTTTGGTGCTTCCCTCTTGGGAGGCTTTGAAGATGAATGGGGAGGGGTGGCTTTCTCTTTGTCCAGGAGGTCGATCCTTTTCCAAGAATGAACTGATTTTATCTTAGAAAAAGTTTTCTTGTTCTGGTCTTCTCAGAGATTCTTGGTTTCCCTTTCACTTGTTTGGTTAATTTTTGTGTTTCACTTGTAAACTCTCAGCTACCTCAAAGACCTTATTTGATGATTGATCCTACTTAGTTGCTTTTAATTTATTTTCTGGGCATAATTTTTTTTGAGAAGAACCAAGTTGTATCTTGATTCTCTCTACTCTCATAAACTCTGCCCCCAGCAAATCCCAAAACAAAACAAAATAGCACAAAGCAAAACAAAAAAAACACTTTAAACCTTTGATTCTCTCAGAATCTGCCTAGATGACTGGTATCCCTACCTTTGTTAAAAAAAAAAAGCCTAAGATATTAATGGATAATTGATTTTGTGTTTTTCTCACCTTATAAGAACCCTTATATTCTAAAAGAGGACTTCTGGCGTTAAAGTGACTTAATCCAGCTTGGCACCGTGGAAAGAACGCTTCACGGTGTGTCCCTGACTGGCCAAGGTCACGTAGTAGACACTAGATCAGCTGGAAATGCTCTCTGGGCTCCTGGCAGGTCATTTTGGAGATGAGTAGAGTGCTGAGTCTGGGTAAAGGCAGCATGTGCCCGCCTACCTGGCTTCCCACTATTCCTGGGCCCTTTCTAGGCTGACAGGCTCGCTCCAGTGCCTGAGCTAATTTGGATCTGGAAAGGAGGTTTGTTAGCAGCCCCAGTCTCACCAGCTGGTGGGACTTAGCCTTAAGTCGTGGTGGGAGTGACTTGTGGGCCCGAAGACTCCATGTTCTACCATGTTGCCCCGGCTGTGGGACTGGGTCTCTGCCATGATTCCCACTTAACAGCTTGGCAACCCCTCCTTTAACCCCCATCTTTTTTAGGCTTGGGAGTTGTTTTTTTTTCCCCTCCTCCCTAGGCTGAATTTCTGCTTTGTGTTCTCTTAGCCACCAGCAGGGATGAAGGACAGATATCTTGAAATGCAGCTCAGTGGCTTCTGTGTTAGCATCAGATGCCTTAATTCTGGCCTGCTGGAGTAGCTGTCCTGGGGGTGTCATTTGTTACAACCTTGTCTGAACTTGAGCTGGGCCTTGCCTTGGACCCTGTGCCCTGGACTCCATGGCTATACTCACTAGAGCAGGATGCAGGGCTGGCCCGTTTCCCCTCTACCCAGAGGCTCCAGGGCTCAGCCGGTCCCTTTTGGAGCTGGTCTTGTGTGATCATGCAGAGCCACATCAGCCACTGTTTTGAGATATATTCTGGCTTCCAGAAATATACTTAGATGCATCTGAAGTTACTGGGTAATGATGGCAAAAATTTTAGGTATTGTAATAGGTTTATTAGAGAGATTTCTAGCCTGGAAGTTTTGAATCATACCACGAATTCATACCTTTTCTGTGTATGATAAGTTCAATGTTGATCTTAGTTCATCAGGTTTGTGGTTTATCTAGGCACTTCCACTGAGGTTGAGTAGAGTTCACTCTGTGACAGCCTGTTTCCTGGAGAGGAAATGGTGGGTCAGCATCCAGAGCAAGACACCTCCTTGTGGTAAGGGCAGAGTCCTCAGAGAGCCCAGATTTCTGCTTTGACTATCATACACTTCCTGAGGCCCAACTGGATTCTAGGCATTAGGTAATAGAGACACATGAAGGATCTCAGATCAACTGAGAAGAGTCATTCATTCATTCATTGAACAAATATTAGTTTTGGCCATGTGCCAGACATTGGATGCTGGGAATGTTGTAGTAAATAAAGCTCCTGCTCTTTGGAGCTCACTGTATTCTATGATCTGATGGGGACAGACAACCAGCAAATGAACAAATAATGCATCAGATGGTGATAGTGCTATGAGAAGAGCAGCGTGCGTGGTGGATAAGGAAGGGCTTAGCAAATGATGTGGGGTGGTCAGAGAAAGCTGCTCTGATGAGAGGTCACTAAGCAGAGATCTGAATTCTTTAACAGAGTGGATACATGGAGGAAGAGCTTTCAGACAGAGGGGACCACGGCGCAAAGGAACTCAAGTGGAAGCCCCAGTGATAGGCTAGAGCCCAGGCCCTTCTGGGACGATAACCATCCTTCTAGAGAGATGAATCACATTTCCGATCAGCAAAGGCCCAGTCTTGACCGTTTGTCATGGCGCCTCCCAGAATGTGAGATGTGTGCTCCGCTATGATATTGGTGGTTCTTAAAATGATTTTAGATGCTATGTGGACATATAATTAAATCGTGAGGTGAGACAGC